TTAATCTTAGCTGAAGCTTGTTTAGAGGACTTTAAAGAATATTTTGGAAATATTCTGATGTCATCTCATTTTGTAACTCATTTTATTTAGTAATTTTTTAAGGGCTATGTTCTCATGAAGTGCAGACCAAATTAAATTTTGAGGATAATATTAAATAAGTATGTAGAGTCATTGATCTTTACAAATTACTCAGATGAAACATTGCAATACTGGCACAATGACTGCCCACCCATATGGGTAATCATATTTAGTACAAACATTTCCCTAAGAGCATGCTTCTGTTCAACCAATTTTATGTACATCTGTAATATAAAATTAAAGCTTGAAACAATTAAAACATGTAGTAAATTGAGGCTTAAAATAGTACCTAAAGACGATGGTCAATGTCTGGCACGTGTATTGTGTATTACTAGACAAGAAAGAAAAGAATATAAGAAAGCTTTGCAATTAAATAAGAGTTAAACAGATAACGTTGCCAGAAAGCACAGTCAGATAATTTACAATTGAATCCTTTCAAAGCTAAGTGAGAAAATATTCTACATGCCAAACAAAGGCTGTGAAAAGAGAACACAAATATTTTGGGGAGTGGAAGACTCTGTAAAGAACTGAGCAGAGAGATCCAGTAGTATCCAAAATATTAAGAGATTGATAATTTATTCAGCAGCCTTCTGAGCTTTTTTCATAACAGAGTATTATAAATATTAAACCCTAGCATATGGGCCATTATAGCCCCTCATCCAAGCTACTTAGAGTAAAGGATCATAAAAGAGAATGGAGTTGAAGCCATGAACTCTAAAAAATGCTGCAAGATTTTTTTTTTTTTAATATTAAAAATAAGCTACATAATTGAGTATTTCTGTAATGCAAGAGTGTGTGCGTGACTAGAATTTTCCTGGAAGGTTCAGCAAAGAAAAGAAAGGGATACGAGACATAAAATCCATAAAGGGATGCATTAACAATTGTATCACACTCCCTTGTATCCCTTGTATGGAAGACAGAAACAAAACTTTTGTCCAGAAAGCATTAGACAGTTGCAATGTGTAACAGTGTAAATATATGAGTAACTCAGAGTTCAAAATTCTTATGGACTGAGGATTTTGCTAGCTACTTCACAAGAATTTGATTTTATCTGTATATTTATCTGTGGGGAATCCAAATATGGATGAAATTCTAGAACTTCCTGCAATTTATGCAAGTTACCTATAAACAATTTCTAACACAGCACGTTATAACTAATAATTTTTTATTTATTCTGTTACTATATATATTATATCACTTATGACTGAAAGAACAGGAGTAGCAACGAAGGTAGTTTGGTAGCAAAACTTTCAATAAATAGGTAAGTTCATCCCACATGCCAGAAGACAGATATCTCGTGCTTGATGTAAGTCTAGTCCTGGTAAAGGAGTGAACATTTCCTGGAAAAGAATGCTGTGCCTCAACTAAATTAAAAAAAAAAAAAAAAAAAAAAGCCTAGTAATATATATATGTTTGTATGTAAAAAAATCCTGACCACTTAGAGTTAAAAAGATGTAATATTTGAAAATAAAACAGGTCTCTCTCTCCCTCAGCGGTGTTAGACTCTGGCATGCCTTCCCCTATTCCTGTTCCTGAATCAAGATTTTCTGTTTTGATCTTGGATTTGGCTTTTCCCTTGTCTTGCCTAACTCTCAGTAGATTGTTGATAGGGGTCATATCTGTGACTTCTCTGCTCTGCTTGCTGAGCTCAGGAGCTGTTGGACTCTGTCCTGTCTGCTGTGAATGTCTACTGCTCTTAGTTCAGCCTGTTTTAGAGAGCAGCCCTGCTCTTGTTGATGTACTGTTTCTGTGACTTTAATTACCTAGTTCTAACTTCTCTTAATTTATTTTGGCAAAGTTAAAGATCATAACATCTTATTCCCTTTACAAGATATGTATAAATGATTTTTTTCCATCTTTTGTTCAATAACCTTTTATGTGATGAAGACACTTCTTCCTCAATCTGTTGTTCTTTAAATAGGACAACCTATTTAATTCTCTCAGTCTTTCCTAATCCTATTTTGTAGACCGTTTTGTAGATGTAGATTCTACATGTATGTAGACATAGAAATGTAGAATCATTTTCATGGATCTCTTCTGATCCCTTATCACTTGGTTCACATTTTTTTCCTGAAGTGCAGATTCCAAAACTGGATGGAATATAGCAACCAAAATCTTAATAGAGTCAAAATTATGAAATCATGAAATAATTTTGATGGCAAAGTACTTCTGGAGGTTCACTAGTTCAAATTTCCACACAGAACAGATCTAAGTAGCTCCTTCGCATAGCGTGAAAGTCTTGTTTCTCAGAAATGATTCAATTATGTATAAGCCATAGCTTTACATTGTTTTCTCTGTTAATGGTATATTTTTAATGAATTGCTACCTACCTAGCTAAACTCCTGAATTTCTGCAATTTATAATTCATTCTGAAGTTTGAGAATATTCATTTTGAAAAGCATCCTTTTTAAAATAAATCTTTTATTTTCTGAAACTTATTTTGAATTATGACTGTATCCCCTTATAAAAAGAATACATATTCAATTAGCATGCTTTTTGCTCCAACACAAAAGAACAAATGAAAATATTTAACTTTACCCACATAGCAGCTTGACTCATTACAACTTTCAAGATTGATAATGAAGTACTCTTAATGAAATTAATTTGAATTTTGGCATTTGATTTTTTTTTTAGTTTTAGGAAGAGAAAGATGATTTTGAATATAACTTGACGTTATGACTTTCCATGACTTCTACCTTCTCCATTTTCACTTGGCTGTACATTTGGACAAATGAAATAGTTCTATAATTTATTCGAGGGCAAAAGAAAATGTATCCTTCTAAAAATTACATGGTCTCTAATTATTAACTAGTCTCAAGTTTATCACTTTGGAAAGAGTTTAAAGAAAAGCCTTTTGTAGTCTTCTTGAACATACCCAAACCTCCACAAATTCTTGAAGATAAATGCTAATGGAGCTGAAATTGCTCAAACCAGTTCTTCTATGGTAAATTAATGACCTTCAAACTTTCTGAAAATATTTTAATTCTAAGGAGTCTGTGAAGATACTGTTTCTTATTTAGACTAAACTTTTTTATCTGTGTTCCTTCTGTTAATTATATGAATTATCTGATCAGTGTTAGTCTTTTTAGTGAAGGGAGACACAGGAAAATAATCAAATTGTTTGACTGTGACAACATCATCTCATCATTTCATAGTTTTCATTTAAGGCCGGACAACAGATGGTTTATTTCCTAGACTTTCTTTTGATATCTGCTTACAGAATGTTTCTTTTTATCCTTAATATCTATTGCTAATTGTACATTTTTGTGTTTTGGCCTTTCTTAGTTGTTCCTGCAGAAGACAATATTTTTTTTTTTTTTCATGTTCTGAGATTGCTTTCACTTCCGTTATACTTTCTTCTTTGAGTTTCAGATCACCGAGGAGCTCATGTTTGAGCCTTTTTGTTCCTTTTCTATGCTTTCTATAATTTTTGGCTGGCATAGCTTCTACTTGGTTGTGCATTCTGTAAGGAATTCTCATGTCATCTAAACTGTTTTCCTCACAGATATTTTTCATGAGCTACTTCGTAACAATTATCTGATTTTTTAACAACTGATTTCATATGCAGTCTTTGTTCTGTCACTTTATTTGCTTCTCAATTATCTTTCCATGATCCTTACTACTTAAATTGACTTCCACTTTCACATTATCAGGTAGGTCTTCGTTCTTGACAGTACTATATCTAGAAGAGCTCCCTGGAGTCATTTACTTATTGATTTTTTGAAAGATTTGTGTTAGTATATCCCGGTGGTTTTTTTCTGAACAACTTATTTCTTAAATTCCTCAGCAGCTCAATTAAAATCTGGAGCATACTTTTTATGAGGAACTTTTGGGTATTTGGGGTGAAATCTATATGCTGAAATTCCAATTTTGTGCAGCTAAAAAGCATGAATAATGGGACACCTCAAAATGGAGCACCGCATCAGAAATGCTGACAAATCCCTATTAAAGTTGTCAGATGCCTGTACAATGAAATGCCTTTAACCCCACTGAATGCTGATGAAGGGATTTAGAGTGGCATGAATGTTGCTAAACCACCTTTGAGAGTTTATATTATTATTCATTGTCTTGTATGTGGTGCAGTAATTGAATCAGTACTATTCCAGTACCATTCTTCTACCTTTTTTGTTGTCCTTATTTTTTTTTTTGGTATATGAAATGGAAGAACCTCTCTAAAATGTGAGCAAAACTTGAGCTCAGATATTTAACCTTTCAAATAGAAATTGAAACTGGGTATTTTACTATGAGTATGTAGTAGAAACTCTGGCATTGTTTTGCTTCTTTAACTTCTCAGCTTTGAATTTAAAGAAAGATGTCCTTTACTGAGAAACAGAAGTAAAATTCCTACTTTGTTCTAAGTGCTAGGTGCTAAGTTTGTGTTAAGTACCTTCACTGATTTTTTTTTCCATTAGATTTCTATAGCTTTCTTAACACAGCATTGAGAAAACAATCGAGAAAAGTGTAAAATCTGATATTTAAAGCATCTGACAGATTTGGACAATTAAAATTAAGATTACTATTTTTCTCACTTGCTAAATGATACTTTAAAAAAATATTTTAAGAGGCTCAAAATGTCCCTCAAAATAATGCATTTGCTATTAAGAAATGACTTGTTAAAGAGCACAGTTAGAATAAGCATTCGTATGAGTGTCTTGAAGATGAGTCTACAATGTCATTTCTTAAGATAAAAAAGAGAAAGAGGGTCTTCAGACCATATGTATTTGAATATAAATAAAGATAAATAGATTTAGGACACAGATAACCAAGAAATAATATAATTCCTCCACTTTTCATTTTAATCTTCTCTACAGGGAAAGACATCATGATAACAACATACTTAAGACTCAAAAAAAAAAAAAGAAAAGAAAAGAAGAATAGAAGTGGACACTCATCTGTTTTGCCTTTCTTTTTTTTTTTTGCAGGAAGAGCCATATGTGATGTTTAAGAAGTCTGACAAGCCTTTGTATGGAAATGATCGATTTGAAGGTTATTGCATTGACCTCCTCAGGGAGCTATCTACTATCCTTGGATTTTCCTATGAGATTAGGCTAGTGGAGGATGGAAAATATGGAGCCCAGGAAGATGCCAGTGGACAGTGGAATGGAATGGTTCGTGAACTAATTGATCATGTAAGTTAACTTTTGGAAGCCTCCTATTTAGAAAGACCTCAGTCAATTCTATCTGTGCAAATTATATAACCTAGTGTGATAAAGCTATTTGAATCTTGGGAAATATACTTAAAATGTAAGGCAAGCAGATCCACATCAATGCTATTCTTTCAAATTTGAAAGTATGTTGTTAAAGACAAATCTGCATCCCTGTTCTGTTCATTAGCAATGTTTGTTTCCTGCTAGAATAGTTCAGCTATTCCATGGCTTATGCCTAAATCAAAATATAGAATAGATAGCATTTAGAATCTGTTTCTGAGATTAAAAAATAAATGTGAACAGATATACTTCTTTATCAATCAGTGCCAGTCAAGATTTCTCTTCTAAAAGCTACACTACAGCTAACATCTAATACATTTACTCAGAGAATCTATATATATGTTCTGTAAATCCATGAATTATCTGTTATACATTAAGAAAAACTACATTTTTCTCAAAAAAAAAAAAAATCAAAGAAGTCCAAACAGTTAGGCAGGACTATAAATATCTGCGGAGGCAACGAGTGCAGTGTGTGTCAAAACAGATGCCATAACAATTATTTGTAATTGGGAAATTCAGGCATTACTTTGTATGCTTCAAAGCATACTTATTTGGTTGTGCCAGTTGAATTTGGACTCTTAGAAACATATCTAGTGATTTTGAATATTGTGTTTTTATCCCTCTTTGCTTTTTGGTGGTTTGCTCAGTAGAGACATTTAATCAATGTCTCTGGACATCACTCTTATTTCAAGTAGGAAGAAAAGATTATGCTATCGCTAATTTAAATGAAACTTCCTAGTGATGGCAAAAACTGCATGAACCACTTGAAGCAAAAATATTGCAGTAATCTTTTTTTGATTTGAGATTTCAGCAAATGAACAGAACATGTGCTAATCAAATATTCATATTTACTACAAGAATTGATATGTTACAGTTTTTATAGTAAATGGTAATCTGATATTGCTGTTGCAACAAATGTTTATTTCATCTAGTTGCCTGCTTTTCAGATGAATCTGTGGGCATATTAATCTTATTTATACTATCATTAAATAGGTTTGTTGTACCTAATATAAAACATACACACACACAAAACAAAACAGATATGTAGCTAGAATCTGTTTCTCTATTGTGTGTATAAATGTGCATGCATGCACATCTCTGGGATTTGATGGTATTTGGGTAGTAATATTGTCTAGAACTGGAAAATTAGGATGGATACTGTGGAAATATTCTGTATTTTTTGAGAGCTCTGGAAAATTTAATTCAGGTGTGCTTTTGTTATTCAATTTTCTTAAATGTGTACTAGTGAGGTCTTCTGATCTTTTCAGTAAGATAGTCATGTGAGGAATTTATCACAATAAATTATGTGGAACTCAGACTCTTCCAATCTTTTCCTTTAGACAATATAATGGTTTCTCTTGTCCTAGATAAAATACAACTAAGCTTAGATTGTTTGTTAAAATATAATTTTCCCTTTGAAATGATCTTCCCTACTGAGCAGCCAAAGCAGTTTTGATGGGATGCTTAGACAGAATGCATCATGGAAGATACAATCTAATTTGCTAATCGGGATTGTTGAGATAGAAGGAGGAAGAGCCTGTAGATATACAATTCTACTCCTATGTTGACCCTACCCAATAAAAATAGTTCAAGTTTTTTTTTTACTTAATGTCTATTAAATGATTTAGGTCCTTTTTTTATTTTTTATTTTTTTTTAGAAATAAACAAAATAAACCCCATAAAACTATTATTATTTAGGAAAAAAAAGTTGATTTTTTTTTTAAATTTATTGGCCACACTCTCATTTTCTCTTTTTTTTTTTTTTTGTTTTATTTTTCATTTCTATCTGTTCAATATTTCATATGGCCAAATAGCTTCATTTTTCACAGTCTTATTTTCCCTTAAAGTATACTTACTAGAATATCAAGAACAGTTTTGTTTTATGTAAAATGAAAAAAACACAAATATTCCATCTTTTTGGAAAGACAAAATGAACCTGTAGACTCTCTCATGATTTATTTTATAAAATGTGCATAGTACCTAAATGAATCTGTTTGGAAGTATTTTTAGATTTTTTTTTAAATTATTTTACCTGCTTGTTTTAGTTTTAACTGTCAGGTTTTGAAAACTGAAAATGATACTATATAAACATCTGTTACTCAAGAAATAATAAATGGGCAATTTCTAGTTGTCCATTGGACAATGTCCATATATTTTAAATACAGAAAAGATACACAATTTATATGAAGCTAAAAATTTATGATCCTTGATTTTGGAGTTCACAAGCTGTTTTTTACCTTTATGGACTTTTAAAATATTGTAAAATATTTTCTATTCAATTATATACATATATTCTATTCAACTATAAATATTTCTAAAACTTTATAAGAATTATTACTGTGTTTGTATGAATTTAGAGGTGGTTTGCATGGGATACAATTATCAGTCCTGAATTACAAAAATTTAGCACTTAAAATATAATATACAGAACTACCAAAGGAATCAAAATGTTTGTAAAATTCAGTCTACTTTTTTCTAAAAACTATATCAAACTTGATTTTTTTTCCCAACCATGGACCTGAACTAGAATAAAGCTGCAGCTGAATCACAGATATTTCATATGTCATGCATTTTTCTAATTAATGTAGCCTATGTGAGATTAGTCTTGGGGTTCTACAGGTTAATTTGTTATGATAATCTGTAATATGGCAAAAAATATCATTGATGCTTTTTGTGCTTTCAGTCTAATTGCTAATTCATTAATCCATAGTTTCAAGTGCTTTGACCTTTTATTTCCAAAGTCATTTATCCCAAGTTAAATGAGCACAGCAGGTATCTCTTGATAAGCCACTAACCTCGTCTTCTCTGATGCTTGAGCCTCTATTTTTCACTTGAGGCAATTGAAATATAGTCATTTATATATTTTCTGGGTATATTTTTCTTGCCTGACCAAATTTAGCAATGTTATTCACTCAAAAATATGATTATCACAGAATCACAGAATGGTTGAGGTTGGAAGGGACCCCCAGAGATCATCTAGTCCAACCTCACTGCTCCAGCAGTTATTTGATGATGAACAGTTCATACTGAGAAGTAGATCATTATTTTTAAAAAAAAAAAAAAAAAAAAAAAGGTGCCCAAAGGCATGACAGTGTTTCTTTCACCCTCTTGTTCTGGACCCTCTCTTCCTGGATGCAGAACCTATTTTTGAAGAATTATCAGTCTGGAGGCAGAGTGTGAGAGTGTGAAGACAGTGCCTCTCTGCAGGTTGTTATGCCAAATCTTCAAATGGTGGAATGAGTGTGTAATTCTGCCTTCCTTACACTAATTGAAATCAGAATTTATTATGAGGTGTATTTCTCTCCAGTCCTTACACCTACCCTTGGAATTACTGTCTGTAGGGCATTCATCCATCACAAGCTGTGATAGCTTGCCTTCCTGTGCAACTCTTGTGTCTTACTTGGGATTGTACTTTCCGTTGGAAGATTCTTGTCAAATCTACTGCTTTCTAATGGCTAATCTAGCATATAGTGGTTGCAAAAATTCTCTCTGTAGTAGCTAGATTATAGCTTCCTGTCTTTGTTTGGATACTTTTATAAAAGGATCTTCATCGTAAGTTCTTTAAGGCAAAAGTAAGAGCTGGTCAGGATTATGTTTTCTGATATATAAATCTTTTTTCTTTTAAAAATATAATCTTGTTTGGTTCTGTTGCCAAGTGAGACAAATATTCATTATGGAGCTTATGAGAAAGCCATTGAGGACTAACAAAATAATCATTTGTTAATTTAGCTTTAGTTGTATAAAATTCTCTGTTTACAATGTTCTTCTGCAATTCATACTAAGAAATTGACTAAAGGGAATTCTCTTATATCTCTCTGTGTCAAAAGACGTTAGGAGACACTGTTATTGCCCTTTTTGGAAACTTGATCTTTCATTTCTGCTTGCAGGCACATAATTTCTGAATGAAACAGGTGCCAAGAGAACAGAGTATTTTGGGGATTACATATTCTAATTAGCAAATAGGCTACATGTCTACAGAATTAAATTTTTATCTATTAGTAACTCTAGTAGCTTTTTGTTTCTTTAGTCAATAAGGAATGGACTTTATTTTGTGGAGATATTTACATTTTGTTCTTATGGTGATAGTTTCTGTGTTAGTTTTATTTCAGCTGTGGAAGAAGTGTGAATTCTGTTCTTCAGAAAGAGGAAGATTAGTACAGCCATTTAGAACAGCCCTAGTTCAAAATTTTGCCCATCTTTAGCCTATGCTTTTCATTTGTTTTTGGTAGCTCCTCCCTTTTCTTCTTCCCTTTCCTCAGTTATACTCTCTGTCTTGAAATGTTGCAGTAATTACATTAAATGACACAGCGGATCTGTATAAGATGAAATAGCAGACTGAGTTGATAATTGTTTTCAGTTTGATCTGAATGCTAGCTTTTGAACCTAGACCAATTGTCTAGACCCACTTACGTTCTTAAGCAGCATCTAAGTCGTACTGGCAGTTCTTTGCTGCTGTAACTGCAAACTTTTGGATAAAACATAAAAAATAGTGTTTTTATCAAGAATAAAATATAGTAGATCAGTTTTCTGACCAAATATATAGTTTGCTTTCCTGCTTTCCTGCTTATATCCCCATTTCAGGCATGTGTAGATATGGAATCCCCCTTCAGCTTATATCAATTACTTTTTAGTGTTATTATGTACGCTTAAATCATATTGTGTATATTATTAGATACACTACATTTAAAAAATCATATTTTACCTTTACCAAAATCATATTTACCATTACTAATAAGATCATAAAGGAGATCACTGTGATCAGTGTGTGTCTGTAATACTTTGTATTTATGTTTAAACTTCTTTAATGTCTAAACATTCTGTATAATTACATACGAGATGCAGTGACCAGGGTTTTATAGTAGTAACTGAGTGTCAGCAGACGTGGTTGAAATCCCAGCGTGGTACCTTTTGTTACTGCTTGCAGGAGTTGAGAGCTATGAAAGATATTTTCTCTTCTACTAGGGTTTAGCCCTCCTATCGTTCAGGTCAGTATAAATCTTCCACTATAAAGTTGAAACTAAAAAAATTGACTGATCTTCCAAAAAGGATATCTGACATATTCTGGCGTTACTGTACTTTTAAATATTACTCTATATATTTGAAGTGAGGAGATTTAGTTTAATAAACATACCTATGCACTCTTAACTATATTAAAAAATGTAATCATCAAATGTTACATCAAATTTAGGGTGGAGAAGTACAGCTTTGTTTTACTTCTTGGCAAATATGTGTAAGAGTTGGCCAGTTCTTTGCTGAAAGCCTTAGTGAAGTCATAAAATAGCCTAGCATCATGAGGGAAGGACCACAGGAGATCAGGCAGTCCACTTCCCTTTTCCATTTATAGGTCAGTAGTAATTATATTAAATTAGGTAACTGCTGTCAAAGATCTCCTGTTAGAGATTTGCAGGTTCGCTTCTTAATATAATCCAGTGATTCATTGTCTTTGCTGTTCTATATTTTTGCCTAATATCTATCCTGATTCAATCTGTTCCTTGAGTCAGAAAGAGGTGTCCCAGCTACACTCATTAGTAGATTATGTCTGCAAAATGCTAATGCTAGGCAGGAATCATCATGCATATCATGCAAAATCAGTCTATTAACACATCTATATCTTTTTTGATCTAGAAGATGAAGTTGTAAATTTAGCACAAAATCCAGATTGAGAGAGAAATGTCTGACATACGAAAATGCTTTTCAACTTGAATTTACAAATCATTCTTAGGCTTAGATTTCACGTGTTCATTTTGATAGTGGATGAAAAAAATAACTAAAATTCAGCTTTACACAATTCTGTTGCTGAGAGTGAAGTAGTATTAGGATGAATGTATTTTTTTTTTTACTTTTTTAGTTTGTATTTTATCCAAAATTATAAATTCACTCTTCATTGATACCACAGTTATGTATGTACTTTCAAAAGAAACATAATCCTTTCCATAAAGAGAAAAGATTTCTATATTTCATTTGTTTTTCAACACCAAATTATATCACTTCCATTTTGTACTTTCTGTTCATATATATTAATAGCATTGTGACGAGTGTATTTTCCAGGAAATCATTTTTACATGTTGCTTTAGACAGTGTTGGAATAATATGTTAATTTATTGAATATTAAAACTGGCATTGCTTTGAACAGGAGGTTGGATTATGTGACCACGACGGACATGAGGTGACCACCATCCTTTCCAATGTATATAATTTTGTCATTTTGTGGAATGATGTGTCCATAGATTATAATAGTACTGTAGTTCCTTAAATTTAATATAGAACTTGCTATTGAGACTAATATTTATAATATTAATTTCAGAAGTCAAAATTTAACTAATAACTTACTTATGTGAATATTTTTTGTCCCATATAATAGTCATTAGTGCCAATCAAAAGCAATGTTACCCTCTGACTTGTGCCTTTTCATGGATTTTGGAGGTGCTGGAGGGAATACAGAGTATGTGAAATGACAAGCAAAGGTGATCAGATTTTTAAATAAATAACTAAATAAATATTTTTTAATATATACTAAAGGTCAATAGTCGGACATGTAATCTGAGTGAAAATTTTCCCCATCATGCAATCATATATTAATCATTCTGAATTTTGAGTGACAAATAGGAATGAAACAGTATTCTGGCGAAAATATGAAGGCACCAGTATAGGGACCGGGATCAGTCCCTCCTAGATTGTCGTGTTCTGCCATATGAAATGTACTATGTCTTGTCCAGTTTTTCTAATTTCATCAACAGTTTCCTTAAAACTTTCCTCCACTGGAAGTAATTATATTTACTTGCATACTGTTCAGTTTTCATCTAGTAAAAAAAGGTTGGATTAAATAAGGTTGGATTTCAGTTTATGTTTTAAGACAAAACATTTCCCAACCAACAAAAAGTCATTTTTCTCTATCTTTGGGCAGCTGTATCTTCTGACTTAGTAAGATTGCTATCTTACTAATCTCTTTATGCTATTGAGCGTAAAGAATCAGAATAAAATCATTTCTTTGTAAGAGGAAGAGGACAGTTTAAAATTTCAGCGAAGGTAGTTCAAACCTGTTCCATATGAAGTCTGTGTTTTGTTTAATCTGATTGCCTGCTTCTGCATTTTCGTAATGATTTATGGCCTATTTCTTTTTTTTTTTTGTATTTCTCTCAACAGAAAGCTGACCTTGCAGTTGCGCCATTGGCGATTACCTATGTTCGAGAGAAGGTCATCGACTTTTCCAAGCCTTTTATGACTCTTGGAATAAGTATTTTGTACCGCAAGCCCAATGGTACAAACCCAGGCGTCTTCTCCTTCCTGAATCCTCTCTCCCCTGATATCTGGATGTATATTCTGCTGGCTTACTTGGGTGTCAGTTGTGTGCTCTTTGTCATAGCCAGGTAACATGTCAACTTTTGTGATTTTTTTGGCAATTGTTACCATCTTTTTCTTACTAATAATTGTCAAAAGTCACAAAAACTTTTTTACTTTCATACTCTTATATTTTAACTTGTGATGCACAGAACAAGAGTTAATGTTGAGAGTTCTCAATGTTAATTTACTCCACTGCCATGCTAAGTCTCCAGTTTGTTTGTTATGTCGCTAAGTTTTGACTGTGTTAGCTGTCTCTCTCTTTTTACTTACAAATAGAGAGACATTAGCAAATTTATGAAACATCTTTTCCCATCCATTCTGTGTGTGTAGAAAAAAAAGGGACAACTGGCTTTATTTTATTAGCATGAGTCAGTTTGATACTGTGGTAGTTAATCTCAAGCTAAGTACTTAGCTGCCCATGTTAATCCAAGATGTCCAAATTGGGACAATTCATATTAAAAAAAAAAAAAAGAAAAAAGAAAAAAAGAGAAAATAAACATGATATATATTGATATCTTTGAAGTAAAATACAGTTTTGCTTCAACGTACAGTTTTAACTGTGTGTTAGGTAAGATCCCTGATCCAGATATGATTATTTAAATTTCCAGATTGCGTGATTGGAATATATTTGGAAAAGTGTTTAGCTGAGCTTCCAGGATTAATGACCTCAATAATGACTTCAAGTTAAATTTGAAAAGGATATGATATATAGGGCTCTCTGACTTCTTGGAAAATCCATTATATTTTACCTTTTAATTAACTAATTAACTATTTATTTATTTTTTATAATTAACTGGAACTGACCCCAGGTGCTCACAGAAATACAATCTCAAATATCATAACTATGAATCTTACTGAAATAGCAAAAAAAAAAAAAAAAAAAANTATTTTTTATAATTAACTGGAACTGACCCCAGGTACTGACAGAGATCCAATCTCAAATATCATAAGTAAGTGTCTTACTTTAATAGCATTAAAAAAAAAAAAAAAAAAAAAAAAGAGTGTAATAACATTTTCAAATTCCTCCCCATAGTCATTTTAAAGTATTTTTATAAATGAATATAAATTATGCTGATTTTAAAGAGAAAAAAAAAGTCCCCTTATAGAGAAAAGTTTTAAAACATTCCTTTAAAAAACCTTTTTTTTTTTTTTTTTTTGAATGTATAGCAATGATTTTAGAAGCATATATTTAATGCAATCTCACTTCAAATTTCTGTGATTTCATTCTCAGGTACACACTAGAATCATCACATTTTCTTTTCCCTTTATGCTAGAAATAATACCAAAGTTCTCTGACTTTCTTTGTCACTATCCTCTTCATTTTGGAGAGGTTTTAACATTTCTCTAATAAATACAAAGGTATATCTAGTATATCTAGGAAAAAGGTATATCTATATCAAAGGTATATCTAGTATATCTAGGAAAAAAAAAGAATTAATAAATCATTCAACCAGATCACTCATACATGAGGTGTATGAGATGCAGAAGTGATCTAGTTAACACATGGAAACACATTCTGTAATAAATATCTTCACGTGTGTACCTTCTTTAAAAAATCTGCTTTAAAGAGAAAGAAAAATATTTTGGAAGTTGCTCTACCAGACAGCAAACTAATTTCTGAGATATTTCTATAATACAAATAATTCTGACAGTATAGGCTTTATAGTTGAGCATAAACCACAAATAGTATTTTATGAAGCACTTTATGTAAAGTATCTGTATATAAAGAAGTTCTAACTATTATTATCACTGAAGGGCATTTTAAGCATGAAGCACAGTGCTCTTGACAGGAAGTTTGCATGAATTTTAGCAGGAGTTGTATGACTCAGTTCCTTCTGATGCTGTGAAAAGGTGCCATGTTATATTTTATAGGGAAGATATATTTTCCTCTATCTCTTTTTCTAATACTGTGCAGTCACCTAATCTTGCTCACAGCACTAGATTGCTTATTATCAAGAAGAAGCACAATACACTGAAGCATTGTTACTGAATATTTTAACTTCTTTGTTTTTGAGACCAGCAATATAAAATCCTGATGTACTTAGAAGCATTATTTTCATTGTAGAACATTACAAAATATGTTTGATACTAGTAGAGGAGTCTGCTTTTTTAAATTGGAAATATATATTTTTTTACATCTATGTTTATGCTAGCCTTCAAAAATAGAGATGAAATTTCAATGCCTCTTGTACAATCAAATATTAAGCAGATATTTAAAATAGAAAGTTTAGGATGAATCAAGATCATCTACAGATTTTTTTATTTCATACTGCAGAAACACTTAATAAGTGGCAATGTTTTCTGACCCATATTTCTTATATGGAAACAGATCTAAGTTAAATGATAATGTCCTGGTGAATGCTAAAGAATACATAACACTCAGAAGTAAAATAACATTTTGCGAATACAATTTGGATTTTTTTTTTCTGTCATTTAAAGAGAGATACTATTAACTGAAATCTGATGACAAACAGGACTTTGTGTTGAATATTTACAACTTAGTGTTGAATATTTATTTTCAATATAAATAAGATCAGTCCTGATGTTGTGAAACTGTTGGACTGTATGACACCATTCTAGAGTATCTTCTTAAGATTTTTAACAATCCCACCATAATGAGTGTTCAACTATCAGTGTTTCATAAAACTTATGTGTTTCATAGTAAGTGGTGTTTGGAGGAGTACCTACTATGTCTTTTTGATATGATGTACAGCTCATTGTGATTACAGCTCATCAGTGTGTTCTTTGTAGAACCTTTATTGTTAGATTTACACCACACATCTTTGTGTGAAATGTTTCATGAGCAAGATGTTATTTTGTTGTTTTATCATGTCTTTCAAGCAGTCTTGGAATGTAAGAATTTAATCCATTTAAAACTGAAAGTAGAGCTCTGTTTGAGTACTTGGAATTCACCCAATACTTGTCCCATTTAGGAAAAGCAGAAATAAAAATTAGGAATCTTGGATGAAGAATTGCTGAAAGGACTTGATAGAGTACCAAAGAATATTTAAATGATAAGAAAAAGAAACTTTATTAGTCTTTACCTTGACCTGAAGAAACATTTTATTTTATTTTATTGCTTCCAATTTAGAAAACAGGTATAAAGATCTAGATTCTTTACATGTTCACTAAAACCAAAGCTAGAAGAGACATTTTATTTGTTAGCTAGCAGGACTTTCTGTGTATTTTTATTTTGTTGTAGTTCCAACAATTGATCAGTTATCTATTTATGTTTATATTACAAATGTTACATTCAGAATGGTATAAGCATATATATTGAAGGACATAGTATTTTCTTTAATTGCTCTTTATTCCTTGTGGGGAGTTATAGCAGGATGTGTTCATTCCATGCACATGAACTCTTCCTCGTGTTGTTCATTATGGTAGTTGAATCTGAGTAGTTAGAACAGTTACTCTTTGAATACTTTTTTTTTCCTTCTTCTTTAATCCTTTGGATTAAGAATTATAGGTAAACTGAGTCTACATGACACTAAACCTATTACTTTCCTATGAACTCAAAAATTACATAGGATTTTTTTCTCTTGTGGCAGCAAGTAAGAGATCTATTTCTCATGCCAAATAACAGAGATTTTGTGTGATACATAGGACATCTTGTTGCATTCTGATTCCAAAATCTTCTGTCTTCTGTGTCTGCATTTGTTTTTTGTTTCTTTGATTTAGAATCCCAACTAAACTCATTCACAAGTTAATCTCCCCCTCTGGAGTTTTGTCAAGTACACAGCCACCTCTTCTTGTCTGTACAAACAAAAATCTTCTGAGGCTTAGTAGCATTTCTTAATTATTTCTGTCTATTGATGCAAAGCATCACTTCATTTCTAGGAAATGTGCTGATTTCTTACATTTTTGCAAATTCATAAACACATGGCATCCCCTCTTTCCCATTAATCTGTGAATATGAAACAGTTGTTTCCTGGCTTTGATACGTTGGGAACTGTGAGTACTGTCCATTCATTATAGTTTTATTATACATCATACATTCATTCATACTTTTAAAAATGCTAAATATCCTTGATTTAAATGGGCCTTGTAATTCATGACTTTTAAAATTAAAGCTAAATAATATTCAGCTGTCATTTCTTATGAATTGTAATCAGTGTATTTTGGAGTCTCATATTTATGTAACTCTTCACAAATATTTTCAGAAAACCCAGATTGGAGAATCGTACATACTTACACATTTTATCTACTTACTTTCCACCTAATGCTCGGGATTTCATGTTATTCCATGGACATTTAAATATTCTCTGCATAGTAAACTCTATGAACGTGTATTTCTGCAACAATACAGTTTACTGTGAATGACCTATCTTCATAAATGGAAGAGATTCACCTGTTTTATCATTATGCTTCACCTTGACAGATCAGCAGTGAAGTAGATAAACTACTCTGGGTGAAGTGGTCCACCAGTTAGCTCTTATATTTGTTGTCTTGAACTGCCTTGAGTATATCTGAGTAAATATGTTTTGCAAGAAAACTTTGAGCTGTGTTCACAGCCCTGATAGCAAAGATTGAATCATGGGTTATCTATTTAAAGGGCTTGATTCAATTTAACCTCTACCTTATTCTGTACATGAGGGCTTCTAGCTTTTTATTCCCTCCAGAAAAAAAAAAAAAAAAAATGTCTTTCCTAGTTCAAGCCTTGCTATGGTTTCAGATTTCACAACATTTACTATAGACTGTTTATCCATTTTCTTGAAATCAGTCGTAAAAGAACAATGAACAGTGTCTCATCACCAATTGGTGATTCTCTTACCAATTGCAATAAGCTGTAGCAAAAGTAGAAGAAAGTTTTTAAAAATGTCTTCACATATTTTTCTTATTTTTTTCTCTGTGAAGAAGTTTAGAAATATCATGTTTCTTCAGACTCGAGTTATCCCTATGGAGCACATACATAGTCTTTTACATCTCATGAGTCTTCATGTTTATTTCCTGTTTTTTGATCAGTTGATTTCTGTCCTTGAGCTTTTCTGGCAGATTTTCAAACTATTCCTTGAATAATGTTTTG